ACAAACAAACAGCATTATAGTATGTTATGGTATTTTCTAGAGTGGTCAGTTGTTGGCAAACTGTCTGGGTGTCATAAACATTGGTAGATTGTACTTAGCAAAAGCCGTACCCTTTTTAATTGTATGGTAGAATCCGTAAGCGGGCAAAATGAAACGAATCCTGCTTTCTGATTGGCTACCCGAGCAGGCAAGATGGCGCACGGGATTTCCCGCGTTTGTCCCTCAAGAAAAAAAATTCCTTGTTTTGACCATCTATTAAATCCTTTATAGACCAAGTGTATTCCGTGAAGATGGCCGAATATTGGCTTTGTTTGTTTTAACGTTTTTATTGACCTCAACTTCGTCTCTGTCAAAAAAACTTCGCCAATATCCGACCGGTCTTGACCCCACGCTCGGTCAATAACGCCAGGATAACGCATACAATTTTATAATCATACCTCTAGACTGAAAAATGTACTCCTCCTCTGAAAGAGCTCCACCATTATATTCCACCACATTGAGAATCCTGCTCGCGGTGATGCAGATTAGCTCTAATTCCAGGTAATATTTAGAAGTTTTTGACATCTGCACAGACCATTGTTCGTGGGCTCTTGTTCTATGCGGTATCTGCGTAGTCGAGAAATAAGGTATGTAAGAGAAGCATAAAATTATTAGACAGTCCCGTGATCCAACTCGGCATTGTTGTTCTTTGCCTCCATATTGGATTTAGTCTTGTTATGCAACGGTGACTGAATTTCGACCGTGAAACAGTTGATCAAGCCAACTTCCTGAGTGTTTTAGATCAATCATGGCAAAGCCTTTGATGAGGCTGCAGTTAAATGGATTACAGAGTAAGTTAAATTGCTTTTTTACCATATACTTTTTACAACTTGTAGTGTCATGTCAGATCTCTAGTAGATCGAAGTTCCTTGCTGAAACTCCATGCAGTTATGTAAGCTTTATACTATCCATGCATTCAGCGATCTTCTATTTTCGTGTTAGTATTGGGCATAGTGAATTTATTTTCAGCCGTAAATAGACAGTAGAAAGCTGAACTTGTTATGTTTATTGACCGATGTAAAAATAGAAATAAATAAATAAGTAAAAATAAAAGTAAAAATATAACGAGAATCGAAGAAGTAAAGTTAAAAGGCACATTATATTTTGATGAAAATGTTTTTCTCTTTGGAAGTTACGGTCGCCTCATTCCATGGCCAGATCGTTCGAAGCCAGATGATTCCGTCTTGTTGCCAGATTGTCAGTTTAAATCTGGAAGAACGTGAAGGGCGTTTGTTTTGGCTTTTTAGCTTAAAGAATGAGGTACTATGTGTATACATGAGTAATGCCTCTGTTTGTGCTCGTGGCTTAAAGACTCATGAAAAATTCTGACTACAGTATAATTATTGTGGGATTGTTTGACTATTAAGTGGAACGATCTGAATTGGAACAATCTGGCTATGGAACAAAGTGACCAGATACCCACAGAATATAGACCTTGTCGGAGTGATTTACAGATTCTACCTGCCATTCCTTAGACCTATTGACTCTTTACCTCTGTGGATCTCTTTACTTATCACTAATTTGATTTTTTAAACACATTTTCTCATCTAAGGGGGACAGATTCAGTCTCTGTGCCGTGCTGTTGCTTGCACTAGGCTGTCATCAACAGCTGCAGCGTCTTCACCACCGGTTAGTTTTATTTTTGTTAATGTGGTAGTCAGTATGTTCAGAATTGGATGAGATCTCAGAATTGACTTTTTGATGGAATATTATTGTAGTTTATCCAACCTGAGTAATCACAAATTTTAAAGATGCTAGGTTCAGTGCAATGCTGGCCCACAGACCATGCATGCAGGTATATTTTTCTGGTGTTCAAAGGCTTTGTGTTTGTGTGCTCTAGGGCAATGATTAATGGCCAGGGGAGCTAGGTATCTCCCTCTGGCTACTATGAACTTGATCCTTGGCTACTTTCAAAAAACAAGTAGAAGAAAAATAGAACCAAAAGAAATCACTAGCTGTTTGATTCGTCACCAATTTGGAAGAGAAGAAAATGTGGCAATTTGGGTCATAGGCATTAGGGTGTAAAAATGAGGTTGGAGGAGGTAAGAGAAGGGAAGAAAAATTATTTTCTATCTGCCCTGTCCCTTCTGTTTCCTTACTCCAATTCAAGTGCTTAGTTATATGGAATTTAACATGGTGGTTACCTGAGGGAAGAAACAAACTGTGTGCCCTGGAATAGAAGATGCCAGCATTGCCATTTAACTTCGGCCACTTAAACTTTATTTTTACGTTGCTTACAGGGTTTAAATATCAAGAATTGTTTGAAAACATACAGTATTTAAAAGAATTTGTTATAAAGATAGATAAAAGAAAAGACAATCTAAGGAGGTATGTGCATAGTGGCAAAGAGAGCGGCAGCTTTCAAGTTGGCTACAATCTTGTAAGCTGTAGAATTGGAGTCCATTTTGAATTGGTGTCAGCTGTTACCACAATGCCTGAAAAGGTCAAAGATTATTTGCTTCCACTCTACAAAAGATCTACCAAAATAAATAAAAGAGACTTTCTTTTGCTCCTGTGGTTTGTTTTGAAAACTAATCTGAAAGACTGCCTGAAATACTAAGCCCAAAGCTGAGAAATGTTCCTTCCAAGTTGCATCTCAAAGCTTGTTAAACAATGACCGGATAATTTTGTTTTAGGTCAGGGTCTTCTTGGGTCTAATCCTGCACACCCATTTTGTTTTGTAGTTACATGCATACTGTCCTGTCTTGTTGTCTGTCAAAGCAAACTGTTGTTACTATTAATTAAGTAAAATCTTATCAATGTCTTTTGATGCCTTTGCAGGCCAAGACATCTTTTGGCAATATGAAGGTTGGTAAATATTTTTTTTATTATTGTGCATAATTGCTCAAGTGTCTTACACGTAGCTTGCTTGTGATAAATTAATATTATTGGAATGTGCAAAGATCATTGTGAAATCATGACTTGCAAATTACAGAAGTACTCAAAGATAAAAATTGAATCTTTTTTGGTAGGATGAGGACCGTATCTTTACCAACTTGTATGGTCGACATGATTGGAAGTTAAAGGGAGCAATTGAAAGGGTAAAGTTTTTGTAATTTAATGTTACATGTATTCTTGAATGAGTCCTCTATACTCATGTAATTTATTGACTGTCTATGGAAGGAGTAGGTGCTACAGGCACTTCATCCTACAGAAACTGGGTTAAGTTTTGGCTGTTTGAGCCACATGGCCCATGGTGTCCTCTATTTTGTTCACTACAACTATACTTTACTTTGCTGTAATTTGATAATAGGGTGATTGGTACAAAACCAAGGAGATAATACTGAAAGGACAAGACTGGATCATCAAAGAAATCACAAAATCTGGCTTGCGTGGACGAGGTGGAGCAGGTCTGTAATAAAGTACATTTTAAATTTGTAATTTCGCAGATACAGTTCACGTGGTTTTACATGTATTTTCATGATTTCAAGAGGCAAATATGACAAAGAGCGTAAAATTTTGCGATTCAAGCATTCTCAACTGTGATTTGAATTTTCTAATATATTTTGCAGGGATTTTTGTTTGCAGGTCTTTAATTTTGTGATTTTCCAATCGTGAAAAATGTAAAATTAAAGACCTGTGAAATTAAGTACATATTATGTACCAGTAAGGTATTTTTATACTTCATTCGGTAAAATATTATTCCCAGTATCATCTCACTAAGTTCCAAAATGGAATCTGTCTTGTCAAATCTTCATTGCTCACTTGTAAACTTTTATTTCTTTCTGAAAGAATTGCTTTAAGAAGGCTCATTTAACTCCTCAATTTTTTGTCAGGTTTCCCTACTGGAATGAAATGGGGCTTCATGAACAAGCCATCAGATGGAAGGTACAACTTGTGTAACATTTTGTTCTTTTCTGTTGACAAATTAAATGATGTAGCAAGTGCAAGTGTACTAAGCAGCCAAATTTGAATCTCACTTTAAATCGTGGAAGTTTCCTGGAAAGGAAATGTTTTTAATTTGGGCTGGTGAGGGGTGTGTATTCAGAATACAGTTGAGCCGCACGTTTATGTGGCTCTGGCTGATAGCTAAGAGATTAGTTTTTGTAAACCAAATCAATTTGTACACTGTACTGTATACATGTTCAGTCATATACACATGCAGTAGAGATTTTGAAAATTCAGGCTTGACCAGGAATCCAACCCTGAACTTTGTGATGACTGGATGTAATACTCTATCCATTGACCTTAACAAGCCAACTGGAGAGCAAGCCATCATGAGTTCACAATTTACCTGGCAGAAAAATTCTGAAATATATGAAATGATCATATGCTCATGTTCACTTTCATATCTATATCCACAGTTCAAGGCAGTATGATTCATTTCATATATTTCAATTCAATTTGTAAACTGTTCACAAGAAAATTTACTTCTTTTTGCCCTCAGGCCAAAGTATCTTGTGGTAAATGCAGATAATCATGGCAAAGCCTTTGATGAGGCTGCAGTTAAATGGATTACAGAGTAAGTTAAATTGCTTTTTTACCATATACTTTTTACAACTTGTAGTGTCATGTCAGATCTCTAGTAGATCGAAGTTCCTTGCTGAAACTCCATGCAGTTATGTAAGCTTTATACTATCCATGCATTCAGCGATCTTCTATTTTCGTGTTAGTATTGGGCATAGTGAATTTATTTTCAGCCGTAAATAGACAGTAGAAAGCTGAACTTGTTATGTTTATTGACCGATGTAAAAATAGAAATAAATAAATAAGTAAAAATAAAAGTAAAAATATAACGAGAATCGAAGAAGTAAAGTTAAAAGGCACATTATATTTTGATGAAAATGTTTTTCTCTTTGGAAGTTACGGTCGCCTCATTCCATGGCCAGATCGTTCGAAGCCAGATGATTCCGTCTTGTTGCCAGATTGTCAGTTTAAATCTGGAAGAACGTGAAGGGCGTTTGTTTTGGCTTTTTAGCTTAAAGAATGAGGTACTATGTGTATACATGAGTAATGCCTCTGTTTGTGCTCGTGGCTTAAAGACTCATGAAAAATTCTGACTACAGTATAATTATTGTGGGATTGTTTGACTATTAAGTGGAACGATCTGAATTGGAACAATCTGGCTATGGAACAAAGTGACCAGATACCCACAGAATATAGACCTTGTCGGAGTGATTTACAGATTCTACCTGCCATTCCTTAGACCTATTGACTCTTTACCTCTGTGGATCTCTTTACTTATCACTAATTTGATTTTTTAAACACATTTTCTCATCTAAGGGGGACAGATTCAGTCTCTGTGCCGTGCTGTTGCTTGCACTAGGCTGTCATCAACAGCTGCAGCGTCTTCACCACCGGTTAGTTTTATTTTTGTTAATGTGGTAGTCAGTATGTTCAGAATTGGATGAGATCTCAGAATTGACTTTTTGATGGAATATTATTGTAGTTTATCCAACCTGAGTAATCACAAATTTTAAAGATGCTAGGTTCAGTGCAATGCTGGCCCACAGACCATGCATGCAGGTATATTTTTCTGGTGTTCAAAGGCTTTGTGTTTGTGTGCTCTAGGGCAATGATTAATGGCCAGGGGAGCTAGGTATCTCCCTCTGGCTACTATGAACTTGATCCTTGGCTACTTTCAAAAAACAAGTAGAAGAAAAATAGAACCAAAAGAAATCACTAGCTGTTTGATTCGTCACCAATTTGGAAGAGAAGAAAATGTGGCAATTTGGGTCATAGGCATTAGGGTGTAAAAATGAGGTTGGAGGAGGTAAGAGAAGGGAAGAAAAATTATTTTCTATCTGCCCTGTCCCTTCTGTTTCCTTACTCCAATTCAAGTGCTTAGTTATATGGAATTTAACATGGTGGTTACCTGAGGGAAGAAACAAACTGTGTGCCCTGGAATAGAAGATGCCAGCATTGCCATTTAACTTCGGCCACTTAAACTTTATTTTTACGTTGCTTACAGGGTTTAAATATCAAGAATTGTTTGAAAACATACAGTATTTAAAAGAATTTGTTATAAAGATAGATAAAAGAAAAGACAATCTAAGGAGGTATGTGCATAGTGGCAAAGAGAGCGGCAGCTTTCAAGTTGGCTACAATCTTGTAAGCTGTAGAATTGGAGTCCATTTTGAATTGGTGTCAGCTGTTACCACAATGCCTGAAAAGGTCAAAGATTATTTGCTTCCACTCTACAAAAGATCTACCAAAATAAATAAAAGAGACTTTCTTTTGCTCCTGTGGTTTGTTTTGAAAACTAATCTGAAAGACTGCCTGAAATACTAAGCCCAAAGCTGAGAAATGTTCCTTCCAAGTTGCATCTCAAAGCTTGTTAAACAATGACCGGATAATTTTGTTTTAGGTCAGGGTCTTCTTGGGTCTAATCCTGCACACCCATTTTGTTTTGTAGTTACATGCATACTGTCCTGTCTTGTTGTCTGTCAAAGCAAACTGTTGTTACTATTAATTAAGTAAAATCTTATCAATGTCTTTTGATGCCTTTGCAGGCCAAGACATCTTTTGGCAATATGAAGGTTGGTAAATATTTTTTTTATTATTGTGCATAATTGCTCAAGTGTCTTACACGTAGCTTGCTTGTGATAAATTAATATTATTGGAATGTGCAAAGATCATTGTGAAATCATGACTTGCAAATTACAGAAGTACTCAAAGATAAAAATTGAATCTTTTTTGGTAGGATGAGGACCGTATCTTTACCAACTTGTATGGTCGACATGATTGGAAGTTAAAGGGAGCAATTGAAAGGGTAAAGTTTTTGTAATTTAATGTTACATGTATTCTTGAATGAGTCCTCTATACTCATGTAATTTATTGACTGTCTATGGAAGGAGTAGGTGCTACAGGCACTTCATCCTACAGAAACTGGGTTAAGTTTTGGCTGTTTGAGCCACATGGCCCATGGTGTCCTCTATTTTGTTCACTACAACTATACTTTACTTTGCTGTAATTTGATAATAGGGTGATTGGTACAAAACCAAGGAGATAATACTGAAAGGACAAGACTGGATCATCAAAGAAATCACAAAATCTGGCTTGCGTGGACGAGGTGGAGCAGGTCTGTAATAAAGTACATTTTAAATTTGTAATTTCGCAGATACAGTTCACGTGGTTTTACATGTATTTTCATGATTTCAAGAGGCAAATATGACAAAGAGCGTAAAATTTTGCGATTCAAGCATTCTCAACTGTGATTTGAATTTTCTAATATATTTTGCAGGGATTTTTGTTTGCAGGTCTTTAATTTTGTGATTTTCCAATCGTGAAAAATGTAAAATTAAAGACCTGTGAAATTAAGTACATATTATGTACCAGTAAGGTATTTTTATACTTCATTCGGTAAAATATTATTCCCAGTATCATCTCACTAAGTTCCAAAATGGAATCTGTCTTGTCAAATCTTCATTGCTCACTTGTAAACTTTTATTTCTTTCTGAAAGAATTGCTTTAAGAAGGCTCATTTAACTCCTCAATTTTTTGTCAGGTTTCCCTACTGGAATGAAATGGGGCTTCATGAACAAGCCATCAGATGGAAGGTACAACTTGTGTAACATTTTGTTCTTTTCTGTTGACAAATTAAATGATGTAGCAAGTGCAAGTGTACTAAGCAGCCAAATTTGAATCTCACTTTAAATCGTGGAAGTTTCCTGGAAAGGAAATGTTTTTAATTTGGGCTGGTGAGGGGTGTGTATTCAGAATACAGTTGAGCCGCACGTTTATGTGGCTCTGGCTGATAGCTAAGAGATTAGTTTTTGTAAACCAAATCAATTTGTACACTGTACTGTATACATGTTCAGTCATATACACATGCAGTAGAGATTTTGAAAATTCAGGCTTGACCAGGAATCCAACCCTGAACTTTGTGATGACTGGATGTAATACTCTATCCATTGACCTTAACAAGCCAACTGGAGAGCAAGCCATCATGAGTTCACAATTTACCTGGCAGAAAAATTCTGAAATATATGAAATGATCATATGCTCATGTTCACTTTCATATCTATATCCACAGTTCAAGGCAGTATGATTCATTTCATATATTTCAATTCAATTTGTAAACTGTTCACAAGAAAATTTACTTCTTTTTGCCCTCAGGCCAAAGTATCTTGTGGTAAATGCAGATGAAGGAGAACCAGGGACATGCAAGGACAGAGAGATAATGAGACATGATCCACATAAGCTGATAGAAGGCTGCTTAGTGGCTGGAGCTGGAATGGGTGCAAGAGCAGGTAAGTGCCTGTAGAACTGATATTAGAACTCCTATCTACAGGGAATGAGAGGTTTAACAAGAAAATTTTTTTTGGTACTTTCTCTTGCCATGTGAGAAATTAAGCCATGATGATATTGGCTATGATGACTCATAATGTCATTTGTATATTTCAATCCGTTTATCCGTCAAATTGTCAGTTGTCCAGTTGTTCTCTCCTACACTGTAGTTAATTCCCAATTGCCATGTAGCTTTAAGTACATGAAGCTTTTGATACCCATACATGACTCTCTCTTATACTATGTCACATGTACACGTATTTTACAGCATACATTTATATCAGAGGAGAGTTTTATAATGAAGCATCCAACATGCAGATGGCCATTAATGAGGCCTATAAGGAAGGTCTGATTGGTCGAAATGCTTGCGGCAGTGGATACGACTTTGATGTTTATATGCACCGAGGAGCTGGGGCTTACATTTGTGGAGAAGAAACGGTAAAATACAGCCTTTTTTTACCTGTAAATAACAATAAATTATCGTGGATGATTGTACTTTATAGTGTAGTGACTATGAACATGTATTTTATCAAAGTGGATGACTTGTGTAACATTGTGGAAATGAATCACTGCAAGTTCCTTGGCAAGCTTTGATGTTTCAGTTATTAAATACTTGAGTCATTTAAAAGACTTGACTGTAGTTACTGTAAATACACTTACGGGTAGCAAAAATCTGTGTGTGACAGTTAATTTTGATTTGATTTCATTTAGAAATTTTAATTCATTGAATAGAGAGAGGTTGCATTGGAAAATGAGGATAATATTGCTCTATGACAGAGCGAATCTTTTTCATTGTCTTGAATACTGGTACATGTAATATTTTTTTGGTAGGCACTGATTGAGAGTTTGGAGGGAAAGCAAGGCAAGCCTCGCTTGAAGCCACCTTTTCCTGCAGATGTTGGTAAGACCGTGTGTTAAGGGCTTTGCCGTTTACAGTGTGAACACAAGTGCATTTGTAGTGATTTGTCACTGTAACAAAGTGGTGGAAAAGTTTCATAGGGGCATTATGTCGCTATGAAGTTTTTGCAGCTACATACTGTACTTGTTGCCTGACCTGTGCAGAAGGATTGATTTGTCGCACAGCTGCTCTGCAAAAGCGACTTAATTGTAGTAGGAAGATCAAGAACGATTAAGCTTGTTCTCATGTCATTTGCATTCTTTTTCTGCCTTTTTAACAGGAGTGTTTGGGTGCCCCACAACCGTGGCAAATGTGGAGACTGTTGCTGTGGCTCCGGTTGGTATAGAATTTTTATGTCCATTATTTTCCTGTTTTGATTCATCCTCAGATGTACCTACATGTAGACAACTTCTTTTAGATCACCTTGCCATTATTGTACTTGTGTGATAATGCAACAAAATTGATGCAATATCAATGTACTGAATTTCCGCAAAGATTATTTTTCTCTCCGCATAATATTATTTTGTTTATAGTTACAGATCTGTAATTTCTCTTTCATCGTGTATTGGTTAAACTCTTACCTAGAACGACTTTCCAGATTTCAGTTTTCCCATGCTAGGCTGAGCTGGCTAATCGTGTTTGGCAGCTATTTTATTTAAATGTATGTTTCTGAACAATCTTACGGTTTTTTCAAGTTTTTATTAAGATCACTTTGAGTGATGTGCAAGTGGTGAATGTGAAATTTTGTACAAATTAAGTAAATAAACATCAGTACATGTAAATAATTAAAATAATAAAAAAAAAATCGATAAAGGACTTCAATTCTCTGTAGTAATTTTATCTAATTTTAATCTCACTATTTTGCTCATGTCAGGCGATCTGCAGAAGAGGAGGGGATTGGTTTTCTTCGTTTGGTCGACCAAGAAACACAGGGACAAAAGTAAGTGAATCAGATATCGCTGTCTAATTCTTAGGGTATCGGTTCGTTTCGCCCGAAGGTCGATTCGTCCGATGGCAGTTCGCCCACTCAGACTAGGTCGATTCACCCCATGTGTTTTTGTTGTTCTTTAAGCCCGAGAAAAGGGAATAAGCATGGAAAGACAATGAATGCACATGTGGAATCCATTGTTAACTGAAATAACATCTTGGAGAAGTAGGTTCACCATGTAGTAGAGTGTTGTTTGTCATCGGGCGAATCGACTTAAGTCCTAGCGAACGCCTTCCGGCGAAACGACCGCAATTCATACTTAGAGCTACAACTTATTTGAAGTAGACGAGGAAATGAGAAAGGTAGTCAGGGTTTTGTAAAATGTTCGTGTTTTCCGTGGCTCACATTTCTAAGGGTTATGCTGGGAGACAACTCAAGGGCTTGAAAAAACTTGATTTTGGACAGCTTTTCCTTTGGGGAGCAGCTCTCACATTTTGTTTGCCTGGGACCACGTCTTGCTCGTTTTAGTTTTGAGGACGAGGCCAGGACGACTACGAGGACTACATTTAATTGTTAGTTTTCTCGCCTATTCTCTAAAATGTACACCTCGAAAAGCTTCTTTGTACTTTTTTTCACCACCAAAGTTAGCATGCTTATTTCCGTTGAAGGAGGTGAAGCCCTCCCCAATCGTTAAATGATAAAATTCCTAACATTTGATAACTTTTTTCGCCATTACGACATTCTCGCTAAAACTCGTAGTAGAACTGACGACGGCTACCACATTTTCCCGCCAAAATGACGTTGGTTCGCGTGCGTGCGCTACTTGGCATTGAGAAAATCTTGTCTCCTAGTCGTACTCCTCTTAGAATCTAAAGCTCTCTAAAGATTTTTGTTAGAGGATGACTTGCCAGGACTCTAATAACCCAATCAGCAAGTAAGCTTGAAAGTTACTTGCCCAGCAAGAAAATCTTCTTGTCCCGGACTATCGGACTGGACTTCTTTCGAGCCCTGCACGGACAAAATTTCCGGCCCCGGGGGCCCCTTTCTCGAAAGTCCCGATATTTTTCGGGCCCGAGATCAAATATTCAAATCCAAAATATAAAGAATAAGAGCGCGGATTCTTGCCTAGCATAATTAAACTACTCCATTTTGATCCATTAACTGATGGTTTTATCATGTTAGATGCAAAACTATTGAAACCTCGGTCTTTTAATGCAAACGGCAACAGCTTTACGGGCCCATTAATTACCGGGACTTTGGAGAAACGGGCCCCTCTTGAAGACAGTGCAGACTAGTGCTTGATTGAACAAGATCTTTGTTGTGTTTTTGTCGCCAGCTTTTCAACATATCCGGACATGTTAATCATCCCTGTACTGTTGAGGAAGAGATGTCTGTTCCCTTAAAACTCCTGATTGAAAAGCACGCTGGTGGAGTTCTTGGTAAGCTACGGTACAACTACACGGCACAAATGAAGTGATATCAGGGGCTTTAAGATCCAACGACGCGGACGGTAACGAGAACGTCAAAACAACAACTTTGCGCGTGCACCATGCTTTTTTGTACATTTCTCTGCCCGTTTTGCACGACTACGACGTGAACATGCCTAATTTCGCGTTTTATGGACGACGTAAACAAGCAACGACGAAATTTTATTTATCTTACTGTACTTGGATATGGTGCCTAGGAATTCAACTTCAGGAGGGTTTGCCTACATTTGACAAAGTAAGTGGGTAGGAATAACTGCGATATTGACTGAAAGAACGCAAATTCACTTTTTAAGCGACGTTCTCATTGCCGTCGTGTCGTTGGATCTTGAAGTCCCTATTTATATTGTATGAGGTGATATTTTTGTGAGAAGTTTACACAACCACTTTTAGTAAAAAAGTTGATTTTTTTATAGGTGGCTGGGATAACCTTTTGGCAGTAATTCCTGGCGGCTCCTCGACCCCGCTTATTCCTAAAGAGTAAGTATTACTAGGTTATTGTTTTCTGTTCTTGTCAGGGTAATTGAATCGCGTATATGTTTTTAGCTTTGCTTCTTTAATTTGATATCTTCAAGTCTAATCATTATCCATAGGATAAGTCGCTCAAACGATGAGTGCCCGGATCATGCGCGCGGGAGCAGCGAAACGAGGGCGGTGCCTCTCCCGTCTCGCGCCTTCAGTCACGCGCGTGGTCATTTGCGTGTCTCGTGCGTTTTGCCCGACGGACTAAGAATAATGAGAGGCTGCGCGTAGTCTGTTATTCCACGAGTGCTTTTGGTTTTGTTTAAGCCTCATGCGCACGTGAATAGGGACGCGTCAAGACCTCTATTAAGGGGCCATCAAGCGCTTGATACTCTTAGTTTAGCTTCCTTTCAAGAATATGATAAAGGAAAATACAACCCGAGATAAAAGGTGACGACCGATTGTGGACCAGTAATTTGTAGTTATGCCGCTCCCTTTGAGTGCTTGTTTTAAAATTAAGTGATGTTTCTGCATGACAAACCCCTTAAGGGGCCAACCTCTATTGGAGGTTCAACTGTATTATCAGACGTTTTCGTCTATTCTTCAGTGTCTGTGAAGATGTGTTAATGGACTTCGATGCCCTCGTTGAGGCACAGACTGGCTTAGGCACAGCAGCAGTGATAGTTATGAACAAACAGGTACTAATAACTACAATTTTCTCACGCTTTTCCTTGCCAAAGGCAAACCAGTAGGTCTGCGAGCAAGGTCTCCATTTAGTCACGCGCGAGCGGCTCGCGAGAGGATTTTGCACCCCTCTCCCCTCCCCTCCGTCGCTCGTGGCAAACCCTCGCGCGTTCTCTCGTACCTCGCCTCACTTGCCACTCGAAATGAAGTGGTTGCTCGCAGGCTAGCAAATCAGGTAAAGAAAAACTAAAACTGAACAAACTAACAAACGCAAATTTAACGAAACATGTTTTTGGTGGAGATCAGATGTGACAAGAGCTTGGCGGGAGAATTTTGATTTTCAAGTAACATAACTGTTTCGTGGAAGAAAAGGGTTGCGAAACTGTCAGCGAATGTCGAACGGAGAGTTCAGTAAAACGTTTTCTAATAAAAGTTTGATATGTGTTTTCTCTTAGTGCGATCTTATCCGAGCCATTGCAAGACTCATCGAGTTTTATAAGCACGAGAGTTGTGGTCAGGTAACTGTAGTGTCCTTTAACTAATTTACGTGAATTCTTGCCCCCGCAGGGATTTCGCCGGGAAGGCTAAATCCCGAGAAGGCATCCAAGTAGCTCGCGCGTATATAAGGAAAGTATAAAAGATCTCGATTTGCTTGAACAGGGGTCGCGCGAAATCGTTGGGTAATGATGACGCTAAACGCCCCTAAGTAAGAAATAATTTGGGATGACCTAAAACAGTAGTGGTTGGCCTGGTTAGTCGTGCAGCGAAGGATATTTGCTTCAACCAATCAGAAGCACTACCCAAATCTTGGTAGTGAGACATCATCAGTATCGAATTTTTGCGCTCGTTTCTCAGACGTCATTTCGCGCGGAAACCAGTGATGTGGTTTCGAAATGTTCTCTGTTTTCTCAAGCTGTTTACGTTCACAAACGTTACCTGTCAAATCTCTTCATGTTGACAAATTAGCTTTGCAAACTACGTTGATTAAACCAAATTTAGTGTTGTCCGTCGCTGGGGTCTTGCTCAATCGCACAGTGATCTTAACATAGCGCTTTTTACTGGAGTGACTTAACCCAAAGCAATAGGGCCAATCCTCACAGTGATAGTCAGTTACGTGACGTGTTGTTTCTCTGTTGGTTACCAGTGCACACCGTGCAGAGAGGGCTGCAGTTGGATGACCACCATCATGTACAGATTCGGTGAGTAAATATTATTCATTCATTTTACCGAAGAATGGAAAGTGTGGTCCTTTAGTGTCGTTATAATTACAATTTCAATTAATACAAATAAATATAGCGCAATTTTCCATGGAGCAGGATCAAATGCGCTTTACAATAAGTTAAAAAAAAGACTAATAATGAATACAAATTTACAAGCAGGTAAAAGGTGTAAATAATAATAATAATAATAATAATAATAATAATAATAATAATAATAGCAATAATAATAATAATAATAATAATAATAATAATATAACTAAATAAATAAACGAAATAAATACTCTACTACAAATTAAATGCTTGTTTAAAAAGGTATGTTGTAACATGGCATTTGTTATGATCAGTTCTTATTAATTTTTGCTTTCTTAGTTGAAGGAAATGCAACTCCAGACGAAATTGACATGTTGTGGGTAAGTGAAAACGTCAGCATGGGTTATTTCCGAATCCCCCATAGTATACCCTGTTTACCCCCCCCCCCCCCCCCCCCCCCCCCCCCCCCCCAATTTTTTTACAAATTTTTTTTTTTTGGGTTCTTTGGGAATTTTTGTCCCAAAAAACAGGCGATGTGAAAAATAAAAAAATTTTTTGTGGGGGGGGGGGTTTGCTCTTGTCATGTTTTTGGTGTTTTCCAAAAAAAAAAAAGGGGGGAAATATTTTTGTTGGAGGGGGNTTGCTCTCCAGGAGGTGAGGCCCATATCCCCCAGTCACTGGGATCGGGAGCAGGGGGAGGGGGGGGGGGGCAGGAGGGGGCCCCCTGGCTTGAGTAAACAGAGTGTGTTATCAGGGATTCGGAAATAGAGAATTCACAACGTTGAAAGGAATTTGTGCATGTGTGGTAGAAGACCTAACTAGTACATGTTTTCTTCGTTGAAATCAGGAGCTGAGTAAGCAGATAGAAGGTCACACAATTTGTGCTTTGGGTGATGGCGCCGCGTGGCCAGTGCAGGTGAGAACACGAAAAAGAAGACTGTATTTCCAATACACAGACCATTAGGCTGTTTTATTATTCTTGAAAATAGAGAGAGACCTTAAGATTTTAAAACGAGGACGACTACGAGAATGAGCTTTTTTCAATATTAAGTAGTGCGCACGCGTGAACCAGCGTCATTTTGGCGGGAAAACGCGTTGGCCATCGGGAGGAGGGCTCAACCTCCTTCAATAATATTCAACAATCATTCCTCGAGCCCGAATGGGCTCTGAGTCAACATGGGCTATTGACTCAGAGGCCGTGAGGACGAGAGGAATAATTGTTTTAGTAAAATACAACTAGTTGGTCAAAAATATCGAGACAAAACAACTTCAGCTGGGAAAACGCGATTCAGTCGTCATTGTTTTGGTTTTCAAAACCGGCGCTTTTCGCTATTAGTGGGCAGGGGCTATAACATATAGCCTAGTAGTAGCTCAACCAATCGGAACGCAGCATTGATAATAGACCACTAGTTGGATTGTACTAAATAGATTTATCTTGGGCGAAAAGGGAAGCTGTCGTTAATATCTATAGTTTACTCAAGCAAAATATAAAATCGTGTAATTCTAAGCGGCGACGGGAACAAAACAGCCCAAAAAATCAGTAGGTCTAATTAGCGAAAAAACAACTTTGCACGTGCAACACACTTTTTTTGTACATTTCTTCGCCGTTGTTTTGCACGACTACAACGTGAAACTTCTTAGTTACACGTTTTAAGAAGGAAATGTTGTTTGCGTTGCTGTTCACTTTTTTTTTTTCGCTGCCACTCATTTTCACCTTGGTGGCCGCTAGCATTTCTCATTTTCTCACCGCCGCTAAAACATTTTCACGTTATTCTTCCAACAAAATTACAGGCCTTCTATATTTTTTATCGCTCGCTCTAGCTCTTTTTCTGTTATCCACGTCAATGTAGACATTAAAATTAAGTCGAAAGAAAGAATCGTCGTTGTTGTTGTTGTTTATCTCTAAAAGTCCGAGTGGCAATGCGATTTACCGCCGAAACGCGCGGGTACTTGAAATGCAAAATTTCACCCCGGCTTACACTAATGGGTGGACGTACGAACGGACGCTTACGGACGATTTTCTGAGAACCAAAATTCTTGGATGCATAGATAACCAAATTCTCTTACCCATGGTGCTCCGCTACATATAACCGTGTTTACTTTGCTGAAAAAAAAGTACAATGAAGCTTTTTGAGAATACGCAAAAAAAAGAAAAGTAAGAATAAAGTAAAATCTCGTCCTCGTCGTCTAATCAGAAAGTCTCTAATAAAAACAAACAAAATAGGAAATTGTTGGGAAAGTAAAGTGATTTAGACTGAAACAGGAAAACGCGCTTGTAAGTTGCTAAAGAAATAGGAAGGCGCAATAAAGTTGTTTCAGACAGCGAAATTAAAAGGTTCGGAAATAAAGCGTGTTTTGGTGTATAAGTAGAGAAAATATGTGAAGATAAACATTGGGGAGGTATTTGGGAACTCAAATACATTTTGAACGGAGTTACAGGGAGGAAAAAGATAGCCTGCGTAGCAAGCGTTTCCGCGCGAGTTCGTCAAGTCAGGACCAGAGAGGAAAGAGGATAGGCCTAGAAGTGGAGCTACTGTCAATAACTCATTAACAATTGTTTCATAACCTTTTTTTGTTTAGGGACTCATCCGCCATTTCAGACCTATGCTTGAAACCAGGATGGCGGACTTTGCTGCAAAGCAGAAAGGCACTTCAACAGCGTGAAGAAGCAGAAGTTAATTTGTACAGAATGATCATTGAAAAAGAAGCAATCTTTGTTAAATGGAGAAGGAATACCTGGACAGTCTTGTCATCTATCGTTTAACCCTTTTTTTAGCTAATCTGCGTGGAACTTGATAGACTATTAAATTGTTTATAGATAAATTACTGTGTGAACTGTGTTTCGCAAGGGAGTTTTTCAATACTGGCAGTATTGAATAATAGCCCCCCTAGAAGATCAACATTTCTGTTTGGCAAATACCGAGTAATTGTTATTAGTCAGATTACATTTTATTGTCAATCTGCATTTCTGTTTTCAGCTATTGTTATCATGAAGAAAATAAAAACAACTTATTTTGAGATTTTGTTATGTGTGTAGAAACTCGAAGGTAACCTAATTTTGTCTGAACTGTACTGTGGTCTCCCTGTCTGATCAATTCATTATTGTTTTGCTAATGACCCGTTACCAGGCATGTTCGTTTATTTTCCAGTGAAGACGCTAAAAATGACTTCTTACTTTGTTCGTACAATGTCACAGCTTTTCTTCTCAACGTTTTGACCCGCTCATTACTGTATACCCTCCGCACAGCGCGCTAAGCACCGAAGAACGCGAGAACAGACATGGAGTGTGACTCGTGAAAAGATTCTCACCGACGTGAGAACAATGCTATGCGAACCGTAATGAAAAAGCTTTTCAACTCACGGTGTTACGTTGAAAAGGGTTTATTCTTTTTTTGAACGTAACAGTGATGATTAATGTTGCATTGAAGCTATTGATTGGCAATAAAAACAACTTGTTACTCTTAAAGTCTTGATCAGTGTGGAGAAAAATATATTAGGTAGTTATTCTTCAACATTTTGCCAGCCCTTACTTCTTTTTTTGGTCGTTGTTGTTGTAATCAGGGATCTTTTTCTCTGTTTTTCTCATTGACCTGCTTCTAACAGTTCATAATTATTTCTGGTTCGTGCTATCCTGCCGTCGTATTCCCTTCTTTGCAGCTTTAACTTGTCGTTGTTCTCTTGTTTTTAAAATTGCCTTCATCACATAAAATCTTCCAGATGATAACAGAACTGCTATGCGAAGAGCGCACACAGCCGAATAAAACCAGGAATCATCCAGCTCCTTAAATACCATTGCATGGTACGGAACAAGCGTCAAACTTTTAAGCAAAATTACAAACATCTCACAGCTAGTGAGAGGTGATCTACGGTTAAANACTGCTATGCGAAGAGCGCACACAGCCGAATAAAACCAGGAATCATCCAGCTCCTTAAATACCATTGCATGGTACGGAACAAGCGTCAAACTTTTAAGCAAAATTACAAACATCTCACAGCTAGTGAGAGGTGATCTACGGTTAAACAAGGCCAGATTTGCAGTAGTAACTGTTCTGTAGACTCGCTTTCCAATCCTCGCAAGTGTGTCTGTAATGTATACTAAGTCACATAAGGAAACCAACCAAGCGTACAGCAAGCTCGTATTGTCTGGATTGCAGCTTGCGATCAAGCAACCGGTGACCACGGTGTTTGTCACGTAAAATCCCCACAATCGGGACAAAATCACATTGTAAGCGGCCATGAGCGTTCACCACAGAACGACTATTTGATCAACGACTTCAGACAGCGCGCTTTTATTAAACCTTTATGTCGTCATTCTTCGTTTGCGCGCATTTTCTCGGATGTTACAATCAGGCAACTTTCAGCAGAGAAGCACGTGCTACAACAAACTCGTTCTTGAAAGTTAAAGAACAGACTCTAACGATGCTAGTGCTCCCTTCTCACGGAAAGAGGCGGTATGCAATGAGCAATGGCCTAATTTAGAAAATATGTGTTACTCGGATGCATTGGCGAGGACGAGCAAAAACTCCAACGATTCCTTGATGGCTTCGAGCTTTTTCTCGCGCGACATCATCTGGATAGAAGTTTATAACATTTGTACATTTTTATATGTTGGTTCTCGTAGAGATGGATATTTCTGGGCTGTATTTGGTCTTTTTGCGCATCTCGTTTCGCGTGATTGTTACAAACAGAAAGAATTTTCAGACATACTTCATGGTTGATTGCGAAACTGTCACAGAATTTTAACGGGGCCTTCTCTGAAGGGAAGAAATCGAGAAGAAACGAAAATCTCCAGAGGCGGATAAAAAGTTAACACGCTTTGAAGAAAGAGCGAAGCTCGAAGGAAACTGATCTCCGTTTGGGAATATACCCAGAAGTTGCAGATCTTACAAATTGAACAGAAAGGCCCACCAAAGGTCTTACTAAAAATGATGTAAATTCCGCTATACAGGGCTAAACTTCAGAGCTAACTACTGGACTTACCATAACTACGGTAATCCTTAGACCGTAAGCAACATTTTGAAAGCATGAAGTCTTTAAAGTAAGAAATGGTTCTGTGATATTTTCAAAAACAAAAACAAACAAACAAATGACAATGCACGATTGTTGCTGCTTTAGACGACAGTTCTTTTTAAACCGAGATTTTAAGTGAATAAATCCTGAGATGTCAACAAAACGACAGATATATAGAGGATATTACACGGTGGCGCGAAGATATGAATTTTATTTTCGAGTGGCAAAACAATATTTTACGAACGAGCGCAGCGAGTGAGTAAAATATTGCTTTTGCCACGACAAAATTAAATTCATATCTTCAAGCCGCCGTGTAATGATCTTTTTATTGTAGAGACAAAATGACATCCACTCGGGTCCCGGATGTAGTTTTTATGAACTTTACGAGTGGTATATTTTCCAGTAAAACACTCGTGTCTATATAATGCATGTGATATATACTGGTTGCTTTTTCATGCAAGCATATTAAAAACAAGTTATTTGTTACCCATAGTGAGTGAGCGAGTCGAGACGTTTCACGACGAAATAAAGATGACCCTGCAAGTTCAGTTCGAAAAAGACACTTAACAGTTCTGGAAAAAATATGGACTCTTCGAAAGAAACCTTTAAGTTCCGCCTGGGTCACTCCGCAGCCCCGCGAAATAGCCGATGCCTTTTGAATGACCGGAAAAAGGTGCGTAATTGTAAACAAATACAGTAATTACAAATGAAACAAAGTAAAATAAAAGTTAAGTAAGAAAGAAGGGAATAACAATAAAAAAAAAAAAAATACTTGGCTATGTTCGGCTTCTCCGCTACTCGTATGGTAAGAAGGTTAAATTAGAGTTCGGATTTATAACAGTTTAGAATATTTTCAATATAAGAGGCACTAATATTTATGATGTTTTCATCGCACATGGACATGATATTTAAAAATAGTGCTTTCCAAGACATATTCGTAAAATTACTGTTTATCGAGTATAGGCTCTCTAAGAAGGTACCCCTTATATGAGAAAGTGATGAGTGATCATGAGTACATTTCAACAAATAGTGGAAATTATCTCGGATCTATTACAAATTAGGGGACAAAGCCTAAATATAATTTCTTTGTATTTGTAACCCAGTATGTGCAGTAAAATTACAATCCTCCAGACGCTTAAGGATACTTCACTAATGAGCGACTTACAAATGATCATGATAGGTGAGGTCGTAAGTCATAGTACAAGGTTCAACTTACAATTAGGCAATTCATTTTCTGAGACGGGACCGGGGGAAGGATAACTCCCATACAGTGTTCATATATGCTAAAGTATATAGAAAGAATTAGTGGGCTAAGTCTCGCTCAGGGTTAAAAATTGCGGAGTGTGGTTGGCTCACTTGGAGTGTCCGAATTTTCAGAACGGAAAGCCCATTTCTTTTTTACTCATGGGGTATCGCTTAAGGCGAGAGCTCACTTGGGGTTGTGAATAAAGAAATAACTTAAAGGTCATCATGTGTCGGGAATCCCGAAACTTCGAGTTCTAATGTGTCATCTGGTTGAAGTTTTTAAAACACTTTTAGGGGTCGCCTTATATTTATCCGCATGGCAAACTTGTTTGCCTATCCATACACCCTCGCCACGCCAGGAAACAGGTGTACCGTATAAGGTCTCTAAATCATTGCATAGTTAGTAGAGGAGACTGGTTAGGAAACACGGCAAACATCAAAGTTGAAACAATGGTGCTGTAGGTTATGTTGGAAGCTCCCTGACCATGGACAATCCCCCGGGGGGGGGGGGGGACTTTTGGAATTTTCGGGGGGGGGTGGGGGGCGGGGGCCCTGGAACCCTTAACCTTAACCCGACCCTGTTCCCCTGAATTTGCCCCCCCTATCCTAAATAAACACCCCCCCCCCCCCCCCCCCCTTTTTTG